TTAAAAACCAGTTAATCCATTTTTTAAAAAATGCACCTGAGGGGAGGGATGCAAAATGCAGATTTAAGAAACACACACAAAGGAGCCTTTTGTTTATTTAAGCTCCTTTTCATTGTTGGTTCCCTTCTCTCTCCTAAAACACCTCAGGCTGCTGCCTTCCTGCTCGCAATTCGGAGTCCACTTCTTCCCGCCCCCCTTCATGCTGTCTGAAATGGTCCCATCTAATATAGACATGGAAGCATGGGAACAATTGTGGAACATGGATATATAATTTACAGCATGTTAGCATCTTGAGAAGTAGAGACGTCACCTTGCCAACAAAGGTCCGTATAGTTAAAGCCATGGTTTTCCCAGTAGTGATGTATGGAAGTGAGAGCTGGACCATAAAGAAGGCTGATCGCCGAAGAATTGATGCTTTTGAATTATGGTGCTGGAGAAGACTCTTGAGAGTCCCATGGACTGCAAGAAGATCAAACGCATCCATTCTTAAGGAAATCAGCCCTGAGTGCTCACTGGAAGGACAGATCCTGAAGCTGAGGCTCCAGTACTTTGGCCACCTCATGAGAAGAGAAGACTCCCTGGAGAAGACACTGATGCTGGGAAAGATGGAGGGCACAAGGAGAAGGGGGCGACAGAGGACGAGATGGTTGGATAGTGTTTTCGAGGTTACCAGCATGAGTTTGACCAAACTGCGGGAGGTAGTGGAGGACAGAAGTGCATGGCGTGCTCTGGTCCATGGGGTCACGAAGAGTCGGACACGACTAAACGACTAAACAACAACATGGTCTAAGAGAAAATTATATGAAAACGATACATCGATGGTATCTAACACCGAGTAAATGGGAAAAAATGTATAAATCTAAATCAAACAAGTGTTGGAAATGTAAAGAGAAAAACGGTTCTTTTTATCATATGCGGTGGTCTTGTAGTAAGGTTAAAGCTTACTGGGAAATGATATGTAATAAAATGAAAAGGATGTTTAAAATAATGTTTGTAAAAAAACAAACCAACCCAGAAGCTTTTCTTTTGGAAATTATAGGGACAGAACTATCAAAATTGTATAAAAATTTATTCATGTATGCGACAACAGCGTCAAGAATGCGACTCGCCCCAAAATGGAAAGAAGCAGAAGTCCCAAAAAAGAATGGATACAAAAACTTATGGAATATGCAGAAATGGCAAACTTACCAGAAGAATAATAAATCAAGATAACTTTTTTTTATAAAGGAATGGAAATGGTTTATGGAATATTTACAGATAAATTGTAAACAGATAAGAACATTGGCAGGATTGTTGTAATAACATGCAGTTTCATTAAGAGTATATATTTAAAGAAGATGAATAAATGAGTAAATTAAGTTAATTTGGAATAAGCAGAAGATACTAAAAATAAAATTAAAGAACAGCAGAAAGAGGGGGAAGGAGGTCAAGTTTTGAAATGTCAAAATGATTGTAAAATCAGTGAAATGCTATAAACCTAAAAAAAGTGTGTGTGTGTGTGTGTGTGTGTGTGTGTGTGTGTATATATATATATATATATATATATATATATATATATATATATATATATATAATGAATGAAATGGTCTCGCCCGCGGCCCTACGCGAATGGTTCGGTCCGTTCTCTCCCACGCCGAAGCCTCTCCGTTCGCTCGGTCAGGCGTAAAGGGAATCCCCCTCCTGCCCCTCCTCCTTCCTATGACCGCCTTCTCGCGATATCCTTTCTCCGCTTCCCTCCAAGAGATCTCGCGAGTCTTCGGGCCGAATTCCCACGCCTGTTGTGTCTGACTTCTGAGACGGGAGAGCGACACAGACCCCCCTCAGTGTGTGCGTAAGTGACGTGAACGAGTGGGCGGGGTTTCCCGCACGCGCCGCCCCCTTTCGCTCCTTTGCGGTTGCGATAAGCTTGTCCTCTCCCCCCCCGCGCGCGTGCGCGCTGCTGGTTTCCGCGGGGAGGCGCGCGCGACGGCTACCTCGCCTCCCTTCTCGCGAGAGTAGGAGTTTTAGCGAGAGTTTGTGGAAGATGGCGCCTGTTGTGACAGGGTGAGTGCGGGGGGGGGGGGTGGCTCTCTCGACATAGTTCCTCAGGGGCCCGTTTCCTTCCCGTCCCTCAGCCGGCCTGCCCGGCTCTCGCCCCTCCGCCGCCCGCTCCTCGAGCTCCGGATTCGGGTGGGGTCTCCTTTCTCCTCACGACCGCTGCCGCTTCTCCGGTTGCGGGGGAACCGGAACGGTGGTGGTGCTGGTGGTCGGTCGGTGATGGTGGTTGTGGGGAGGCCGAGTCGCCTGGGCCCTCGACGGGCCGGGGGTCCGGGTGGCGGGAAAGTCCCGCCTCGAGCCTCGGCGCTGTGGGGAAAGCGCTTCTCGACGCGCGGAGCTCGGCGCTGTGGGGAGAAGCGGGGGGGGGGCTTCTGTGGGGAGAAGAGGCAAAACACCCCCACACGTGAAAACTGCCTGGTCCTGCGTGTCTCCGGCTCAGTCGTGTTAACACCCCCCCCCCAAAAAAAAAAGGAGAGGGGGGAAGCTCTCTGGAGTAAAAGTCACTTCAGGGGCTCTGAGGAACTTGGCACGTCTGCGCGCTCTGGACTGCTTTTATTTCGGGGTTGCATCTTACCCTCTGCCTTTCTGACTTATGCAAGGAGGAATTGCATCGCGTTGCCTTGACACTTGCGTGGTGCTCGTGTTGGTGGTGCCTGGAATGAGGCGCAAGACCCCCCCCCCAAAGTGAGAGCTGTCACTTCAAGCCCCCCGGTGCCCTGCATGGTTAAGCTGTCCTCTTGTGTGTTGCATTGCATAACTAACTTCCCCAGCTTCCTTGCAGTGCCTGAAGGTTGTTGCGTGAAGTTGGTTGGATTGAAAGCAAAGGCTTCCGTATCTTTGCTTTGTGGTGTGCGGTTAATGGGAACCTCCCCCTAGGTGAGTTGAGCTTTGGGTCTTAGTGACATACTGAGCATGTTCCGGTTTTCCTTGAAGGGGCCCTAACTCTTACTCTCAGGGTTGTTGTTAAGATAGTAGCGTGTTGGTCTGCCATAGTCAAAACAAAAAAATTCCTTCCAGTAGCACCTTAAAGACCAACTAAGTTAGTTCTTGGTATGAGCTTTCGTGTGCATGCACACTTCTTCAGTGTGTATCTGAAGAAGTGTGCATGCACACGAAAGCTCATACCAAGAACTAACTTAGTTGGTCTTTAAGGTGCTACTGGAAGGAATTTTTTTGTTTTGTCTCAGGGTTGTGGTTTTGAGCCCACAGTGGGCCAAAGGTTCCTGCCTTGCAGGGGGTTGGACTCTGTGATTCTGTCTCAGAAGCTGATGATGCCTTTTTGTGTTGCTTCACGAGGCCCTCCAGTCTTCATTAAAGGTTGCTGTGGCATATCACACTTGTGCTTGACTTAAGTTATGGGTTGTCTTCTGGCAACAGCATCAGTCCATTGGGGCTTAGAGTTAGCCTTCAAGGTAGCCGGTGTCATTTAGGTCACATGATTTCATTGAAAGCAAATGCTTTTTGGTGATTGGGTAGGAATTTGTTGTATAGAGATTTCTGTTGTTCAGACATTACAGAAACAATATCCTGTTCCAAACTCCGAATGTGTCTGCAGTCTTACGCTATAATTTGCGAAGTGAAAGTATACCACCTCTATTAATTATGGAATTTACTTCTACAAAGTATCTTAAAATTAGTGCACTTATAGCTTGGTTGAAAATATCAGAAAAGTCCTTCAATAAAGTCACTTTCTAATACGCTTTAGTATCACAGTATGCAACTAATATGTTGCTCCCTTTCCCGCCAAAGAAAGCAGGAATTGTTTCTTACAAATTTCAAATTATTTAAGGTTTTAGAGTCGGGGTGTCAAGATGAAAGTAGGCTTGGACTATTTGATTCAGCTATTCTGTGGTTTATAGATTCTTTTTATTCTGGTAATGTATTCAGGGTACGCTTTTTTACTGTTGAGTATAAATTGCTGCTAACATTCTAAACTGAAAAGTAGTTCCTTCTAGCTTTAGATTGTTACAAATTCAAATTGCTTGTAAGTGAAGGCAAGGTAAATGTTTTCCTCAGGATCTAGTTCTCTGCTTGAATAAGTATCGAGTATTGCACTGAACAGTTAATTATTATGATGTTAATATTCCTTGATCTATTTCTGACACAAAGTTGACATCAAAAATCTTGTGGAATATGTTCTTCTGTCAGTATATTGAAAAGTCATAAAAAGTAGTACCTTGCTAATTGAGAGCTACTGTTTTGTGCAGACAGAATTTAACTCCTTTCCCACCCTGTTCTTCACACTTTGGGCCTCTTCTGGCTGGATCTTAGTTGCTGCTTTATCACTGTAAAAATAACTTACATATTATTGGGCACTTTGTCATACATAATTTAATATTTTATGTAACACTTCCATTGTGCAGATGCTATGCTGAGACCATTATTAGAGACATAGGTATCATTTTCTTAAGCAGCAGTGCAGCATATTTGGAGAAAATTTGATTGAGGGGAGGCTTTGAAATTTACTTTGAAACCTAAGGAGAAATTCCATCCGGTGAAAAATAATGCATGGCAGATAACACTTAAGAGGGACGATGGACACCAGCAGGAATATTTGGGGGGGGGGTCATTGCCATGCTTTTATAAGATGAACAGCATGCATTCATATCCAAGGATTTAATTTGGTGATACCACATTTTTATAGGGACGTGGGTGGCACTGTGATCTAAACCACAGAGCCTAGGGCTTGCTGATCAGAAGATTGCTGGTTCGAATCCCTGCAACAGGGTGAGCTCCCATTGCTCAGTCCCTGCTCCTGCTAACCTAGCAGTTCGAAAGCATGTCAAAGTACAAGTAGATAAATAGGTACTGCTCTGGTGGGAAGGTAAGCGGCATTTATGTGTGCTGCTCTGGTTCACCAGAAGTGGCTTAGTTATGCTGGCTACGTGACCCAGAATCTGTACACCAGCTCCCGCGGCCAGTAAAGCAAGATGAGCACCGCAACCCCAGAGTCGTCCACGACTGGACCTAGCGGTCAGGGGTCCCTTTACCTTTACCATTTTCTAATCAGTGTTTGTTTGAATACTGTACCCTCTGTAAACTTGTGGAAACAACAGTGAAGAACTTGGACAGGTTGCAGAGAGAAGGGGGACATTTGGAAACTTAGAAAACTGCTTTGCAATGTGAGGTTCCTAGGGCAAAATATTCCTAGGGCAACTGTTCAACTGCACCCTATAAAGCAAGGGTGGGCTGAAGGTAGATCAATATCTACTGGTAGATCTTCGACTGATTGTCAGGGTTTTGTACTTTCAGTTGTTTAACAGTACCACCAAAACTTAGTTTCTTTGCTATATTAAGACTGCTGAAATAAATAAAAGTAACCAGGAATGTATTTTTGCAGGAAAGGGTTAAAATATCAGTTTTATTTTTGACTGACAACCAATTCCTAGGTTTAGAATGTGCTCAGAAGCATCCCTCTATTTTTTAAAAAACAACAACCATATGTCTCTCTTGCACCTAGCTCTCTCGAGTAGATCTTGTGGCGCTATTAGAGAACAAAGTAGACCCAACAAACCTCAAGTCTGTCCACTTCTGCTCTAAAGTATTTGAAGACATGGTATATTTAAGGATGGACTCTTCTGTGTTCCTTTTCTAGTGGCCCACCAGTCATTTATCATCAAAGAAACAGCTTCCTCGGTGGAAGGGGATTTGGAAGCAAAGAAATAATATGAGAGTGCAAGTATTACTTCTCCTTGCCTGTATCTGTCATCAGGCAAGTTGACTACCTGCCCCAAATAAAAGTACAATGTGTGCATATATATATACAGGTAGAGGGGGTGACAGCACACAGAGATGAAGGGCACTGGACTCTGTCAACTGTGCTTGGAGAGTTAACACCTGAAAGAGTAACCAGATTTCTAAATGTCCCAAGTGACGGAAGTTTGATACTGGTAAGCTTGTAAGAGACTGCTTAGAACAAAAAATTATAGCTGTAAATTTGTGATGTGTTGCTTGTAAAAGTTACCTCTCAGATCAGAATACTGTATTAAATTGGTTTACTTCCCCCCAAATAAATCTTGACTTGGTTCAGTTTTTTTTTTAAAAGGCATTGGTTTCTTCTTATTTATTTAACTAATTTATAGGCCACTTGATCCTTTACACATCTATATGAAACTCATACAAAAATGTCTCATAGTTTTTTAGAGACTGCCAAATTTGTAGAGTAGATAGTGCTTTGTAGCCTTTTAAGTATTGACCCACATTTGTAAAAAAAGTCTTACATGGCAAATAGGAATTCCCTTTGTGTGAAAAGGTAAGAAGGCTTCTATAATCTGGATCAGTAGTTCTGTGTTTTCTCAGGCTGTTGATACATCACAGATTACTTATGCTGCCATGTGGAGGCAAGCGGGTAGGCTTGTAATTCTTGTGGGACTGTTTGCGAGCCTTTATCAGGGCACATAATGGTTTGTGTCCAGTGTATCTAAGAAATGTCCTCCTTCCTTATGTTCTGTCTTGCACACCAAGATTTATCAAGAGTATTTTACTGACTGAATTAATTTTGTGCCGTGGAATCAGGGTGTTTATAAAGAGTTTCATTGCTTGACTCATAACTAGGAATCTCTTCTTCCTAGACATTTATTGGAGCCTAAACTGAGGATTTTTCAGAAATACTAAGTAAGTCTTCATCATTATTGTGTCTACTATTTGATAGTTGAGGTTAGGTAGCACAGAGCTTATTTGCATGTATTTTCTTTCTGTTATAAAACCCCATTACAAGTTGAATTGACTGTGAATTAAGTTTGGCTACCCACTGAGATTTGTAGTTGGTCATGCTAAAAATGTGAATAAACAAATAAGCACTTCTGGTTTTTATTCGAAGGGAATGGTTAGGAAAATGGCTGTACATTACTACAAATGTTGATTACTTGGTATCTTATTGTGTTAGGCACTGTACAGCTATTGAATATATTCCTGAATATAATAATAGTAAAACAAATGAATGAAATAAGATGATGTGCTAAAGAGAGTGGATTTGATAGCAGCAGTAGTTGTGGGAGCCACAGTATAAACTTACTACCAAACTTATTACCTTTTCTGTCTTCAAATATAGATAATTTTTATCATTGAAAAATATGATAGTATTACCTGTTTGCTTCTGCATTTGGAACAAAACCTTGTGAACAAAAATATATTTACACAATCCTTTGAAATTCTGACCTTAAATCTTCTTCCCAGTAGCATAAGTCATGAGCCATTGCTTTGACAGTTAATTTGGTATAGGCTTCCCTCCCCACTTTCTATTAAACAGTACAGAATGGGGAGGAATTAGCAAAAGCGTGGGAATGGGTTTGTGGCTGATCTAGTGTGGCTTTAGAAAAAATAACTGAACTATTGTCAAATGAAGTAGGTTCAGTTCCCCACTGAAGCTGGGTAACTTTTATATGCATCTTATAGGTTATCATCAGTGTTAGAAACTGAGATATGAAAGCTAGGAGCTAAATGACACCTTAAACCTAGGTTATGGGCGCAACAATGGAATGTCTAGGCACACTTCTTTCACAACAAGAATACAAAGCTGAAAATGAATGAACAGCTAAAATCTTAATATTCATTTTTCACATGCTCTAGTCCTCATCTGAACTGCAAAAAAGAAAGCCATGCTTCCCCTGTCCCCCCCCACCCAATATTCTTATTAGGGTCTCTTCCCCAGTCTTTAGAGAGTGACTGGAAGTGGGGAGGCAGAAAAAGATCCTCCTTTCCTTCCACTCTGCAGTTTTAATCTAAAATCTTAGGCACAGTACTGCGCCCAAAGCTCAGAAACTGCTCACGCTAATGAAATTCCTTGTCGCAAAATGCGCCTAGAATGCTGGTTATCATGATATTCTTTTTAGAAAGTTCTTTATGAACTAATATTTATTAAATGCTGTAAAAACTAGGAAGCGTTATAAGGAAAGCTTTCCTGAGGGAATAGAGAACAGAACAGATTGTTAGATTACCTGATTTAAGAGAGGAGTATGAATGGAGCAGGCAAGAGTGTATACGTATGCTTTTTATTAGCATCTGAGAAGCAAGGTGGCAGCTGTTGGAACAAAGTTTTTGAACTCAAGTGATATACATTCTTGTGTATCGCTGCACATCATCTTGGGCACTTAAAAGTGGATTGGTAATTCATAAACACAATTAACATCACCTTGCCTGTTCTGCTGCTTCTAGTTATTGTTGTCATTGGTGATTTAGATTGACAGGTGTTGTAATAATGAACTATTATTTCTTTTGTCTTGTTCTTTGGATTGGTAATCTTAGTTGGTGACTAGAGACTAGGTTTTGTAACCTGCTATGGAAAGCTCTTCAGTGTTTGACTTAAATAGCTTCTGGAATGCTCAGGCAGGTTACACCACATAAAACTGGCAGGTAGCATGCTCTCTCTAATTTACTGTTCAGAATTTGTACTAATAAATGTATTCACCATTGTGAAGCAATCCTTAATGCTCTTCTGTATTGCCTTGTGCCATGTTGAAGTAGTGATCACTCGCTTAAGACACTGGGGCAAGAAGTATGCTTATAAGTATAAAGTGCACAAGCTATTTAGAACTTTTAAATTTAAAACCATCACTTTGAAACGTGCCTGTTGTGTGTCTTTGAAGAAGTGTGTTAGCTAATTGGAATCCTGAAACATTCCATCATATGTACAACATTAATATTACTTTATGTTGCAGGAGTGGAAATATGCACAAGAGCTAAGAAACCTTAGGATTTTGGTCATAATTGGATGGTAGAACCAGGATGTCAACTCTGAATTACTGATTATCACATTGCTCTGTTTTTAAATGCAAGCTGTAGAAATTAGAGGGTTCCAGGTGTGTACCTGGGGTGGTACACACCAATCCATTAAAATAACACTTTAATACAAGAAAATCATAAAACCAAAAATATGCATAGAACAAGGATCAGAATATTAAAAAGGTAAAGGGACCCCTGACCATTAGGTCCAGTCGTGGCCGACTCTGGGGTTGCGGCGCTCATCTCACTTTATTGGCCGAGGGAGCCGGCATACAGCTTCCGGGTTATGTGGCTAGCATGACTAAGCCGCTTCTGGCGAACCAGAGCAGCGCATGGAAACACTGTTTACCTTCCCGCCAGAGCGGTACCTATTTATCTACTTACACTTTGACGTGCTTTCGAAGTGCTAGGTGGGCAGGAGCAGGGACCGAGCAATGGGAGCGCACCCCGTCGCAGGGATTCGAACCGCCGACCTTCTGATTGGCAAGTCCTAGGCTCTGGGGTTTAACCCACAGTGCCACCTGCGTCCCTTTCAGAATATTGTCAGAATATTCAGAATTATTGTTAGAATTATCAGAATATTGGGAGGTTTCTAAAATTATAATAATTCAGCAACAGCGTAGCTCTTTGAGTAATCATTTCTATAAGCCTAAGAATACTAATGCATCACAATATGATGCCTAAAATCAGCTAGCATAAGGAACAATCTTATCCCCATGGAGAAGGAATTCCATACCTTTAGTGCCACAACAGATAAGCCCTGCTCTTCATAACTACACTGCAGAAAATAGCTGTAAATAGAACTATTGGGTAGGGTCTCTTCCAGATCTTAAGCCATTAGTTGATAGGTACTAGGGGAGCTGTATAGAATTTTATAGACAAATGTTAGTACCTTAAATTTGACTCAGTAGCAAATAGGCAGACAGTTCAGGTAGCAAATAGGCAGTCAGCAGCTTCTTCTGCACCACCTGCAGCTTCTGGACAGACTTCAAGGAAAGTCACAAAGAGCACATTGCAGTAGTTTAAATGAGAGGTTACCAGAGTATGTATTAACATAGCTGAGTTATCAAAGTCCAGGAACAACTGTAGCTGGTGAACAAGTCAGAGCTGGACATATACAGTCCTTGTCATCTGGGCTTCAAGGACATATGCAGTCCTTGACGCTATCAGGGCTTCAGGTGATAGCAGTGTTTTGCCAAGAGCTATTTACCTGCTCCTTCACAGTGAGTACAACTCAGTCCAGAAAGGGCACTCTACCCAACTCCAGATGCAGGTGGTGCTGTGGTCTAAACCACTGAGTCTCTTGGGATTGCTGATCAGAAAGTTGGCGGTTCGAAGCCCCACAGCAGGGTGTGCTCCCATTGCTTTGTCCCAGCTCCCACCAACCCAGCAGTTCGAAAGCATGCCAGTGCAAGTAGATTAATAGGTACCTCTGCGGTGGGAAGGTAAATAGCATTTTCATGTGCTCTGGTTTTCGTCATGGTGTTCCGTTGCGCCAGAAGCGATTTAGTCCTGCTGGCCACATGACCCAGAAAGCTGTCTGTGGACAAACGCCTGTTCCCTCAGCCTGAAAGCGAGATGAGCACCACAGCCCCATAGTGACCTTTGACTGAACTTAACCATCCAGGGGTCCTTTACCTTTATGTTTTTATTGATGACATAGTACTTCAGATCCCGGAATGACAAACTTTAAAAAGCATTGGGGACAAAATAGTACCCTAAGGAATCCCACAGCACAAGTGCTGGGGAGCTGAGCTGCTACAGTCTGGTACTGATCCTGCAGATAAGAAGAGTAGAGCCCTGTATTGTGGTGCCTCCAGCTCCTAATCCACAGAACTCATGCCAGTCAATATTATGGTTGGTTCTTGCAAAAGCTGATGAGAAGTCAAGGAGAACTAGCATGGTCTCACTCTCCTGATAAAAAGGTCACCAATTGGGGTGACCTAGGCCATTGCCATGCTGAACCTAGGTCTGAAGCCAGAATGAAATGGGTCTAGATAATCTGCTTCATCCAGACACACCTGGGACTGACTAATCACTACCTTCTCAGTCATCTTGCTCCCATAAGGGACATTTTTGACTGTGTGGTAGTTACCTAATATCACCATATCCATATAGGACCTCCTGAGAAGGAGCCTCACCATCTCCAGAGCAATTGGCTGCACCCTCTTCATCACAGAGAATCAATCACTCCTTAGACCCACTCTCAAGTTGTTTCCGGGTGGCTTTTATTTGCCATAACGGACTTAATTTTTTCAAATTGCTACTGTCTTCATGCCTTAAGAGGCCTTGGAGTGGCTAACAATAAATTTATTTATTTTTAAATACTATTCTGAATGTGCTAGGAAAATATTTATAATCATTTCTGTAGTGGGATCTTGAAGAATAAGTGAAACAGGCTTAGGTTAAAATAATTTTTGGTTTTTATTGGAGCTTGCTTTTGCTGATATTCTTTCTTCCTTTGGTGTCTAAGCTCCCCCATCTGGCAACACACTGCACTTTTCTTGGCTTTCTGCATCTGACAGTGGTTGGTAGCAAATTCCTTTCTATAATATTACATTACTGCACCACCACCACCACAGGAAACCTGTTAGGTTTCCAAGCACTTTTAAGAGCTTAGTGAAATACTTGGATTCGGATGAGAGGGTGAGCTGCTCCAATGCTGGATTAGTCATGCAGCAAGGTGAAACGACCAGCTTCAGGTGGTACTGGGGAGGTCGCAGGTAGATGAAGTCAGAAATTAGTGTCTGTCTGTCTGGTTTAGAGTATTGGTCCTAGAATGGGGCCTGTGCCTGGATAGCTCAGTTGGTTAAAGCGTGGTACTGATACTGTAATGCCAAGGTTGCAGGTTTTATCCCTGTATGGGACAGCTGTATGTTACTACACTGCAGGGG